TGTGTAGATATTGCTTCTATAATAACAAAATATCATATTGCAGTTTTTCTGTAACACAGCAGAGGAGTTGGGAAAAGATGACAGGAGTGTATATGGTGAAATGGTTAATGTGAAATGTCCAGTTGGAACAAGAAGGACAATTGTTGCAATAAATCAAGACGAAAAGCTAAAAGCGCAGCATCGTGGCTCATTGCACAGAGGCATAACATGAAAGCAAAGCGTGTAAAAACACACTGTTTCTCCACCACATTGACCACACAGCTGGGACCCCAGTTAAACCAGTCCAGATGACATCACAGTTTTGTGATGACACCAGCTGCTGCATAATAGTAGAAGTAAGTCTGGATCTTTGAAAACAACCTACAGGGAAATTTTTTTTTTAAAAAACTGTACACATTAAATTCACATTCACATTCAATAATTACAAGTATTTCAATTAAAAACCAATTATTGTAAAAAATATTAATGAATAGCCTTTTTTCAGATTTTCTCTTTCTCTCCTCCTCATCTGCTCACACCACTTTAATAAACAATAAATTTTCTTTAAAACCCAGACAAAGCAAATGGACTTTCAAACATGTATCGCCTCCTTTTCATTGCCTCTTTTGTATTTACTTTTAATTTGTATTGATCTTTCACCTGTACCTCAATTTTGCTGATGTCAGAAAGGTGAGAGAGCATTACAATGTACAATGCTTTTCTCTCTTCTCTTATCATAGAGGAAATGAAAAGCAAATGGCACCTTTGTCCAGGACGTGAGATCGTCCAGGCATAAGGGCTTTGAAGCGTAGGGTGAAATTGAAAAGGTTGCAGGTTCACATCCCTGGACAATGACAACCCCTCTGCCTGCACTCCTGCAGCTCACGGGAGATTAGAGAGCGAGAAAGATAAGGAGCAGCATTGGCTAAATGTTTTTTTTTCTTCCTGGGTTGGACTGATCGAAAAAGCTGAAGTGCTCCAGTTAGCCAGAAGACAGACAAATACACAGAGACAGACTGGCAGGGATAGGACACAAAGTGAATCATTCAGAACTGACCTTGACTTGATTGTGTGTAAACTGGTCTGCTGGTTCAATGATAAAAAGCTGAGTACACAAGATCAATAAGTAAACAACATAGTTTCAAAAAGTTGATTTGAAAATCTGGAACTATGTGGTTTGACGTAACAAAAGCAAAGATGTTTCATGTAGTTACAACATTTCATTTGGAGACCAAATGCTCAAGATTTAACTTTGCGGTGCATTCCTAAGGCATTGTGTACATACAACTTAAACCGCATCATGCACATCGACACACACACACACACACACACGCACACAATGCATACTTGCACACAAACTCTCCTGAGCAATGCTACTTCTTTGTGCTTTTCATGACCCATATAAAATATGATAATGTATGCAGTCAGTCTAGAAAATAGGTGAGGCTTTAGGGAAATGATGAAGGACCGCAGTGCAGCGAAGGCCACCACGCACACTGCTGCTTAGCAGACATCCTGCTGTTCCCATGAGATACACACTGTCCCCCTCACTAACTCTGCGGGCCACTCAGACTCCAAATTAAAAACTAAATGAGCCCTCCATCTATTATTTGGTGTATATCCATAGTGTGTCCTTAAGGTTTACTTTTCTTTTCTTTTTGTCTTCCAAAACAGTGCTCAATTCATCAAGACTGAAGACAAGTAAAAAAACAATAAAAATATAATTAATACTCAAAATATTCTTGAGTTACTTTTTTGATTAAAGAGAAATTCAGCTTTTGGTAGTAGTGTGTTCTATCCACGGGGCATTATTATCGCTTGTCCAGTCTCTTCTGTGGGTTTAGACCCACCTGATGTTTGAATTAGTGGGTTTTAAATGACAGGGCCGCCTCAGAGAGATGCCCACAGGCCCTCCTCTCCCCAGGTTTCAAAGGCCCAGCGACCTGGTTGCTGTCGGCTGTCAGGTAGTAGATGGGAATGTGTGCCGGCGAGATAACCTGTATGGGACAGAGCCCAGTGTCGTGTGCCTCTTTGACAGGCTTATTAACGGGAAACCGCCAAGGAAAAAGCCCCTATCGGCAGGGGGATCAGGGGAGAAGAAACCTTCCCTTATCACCAGGACACCAGGGATTAAAGCCTGGCCTGCTGTGATAAATTAATTATTCTCTCTTATCTGTCATGTTTAAAGACTGTCAGACAAACCCACCCAGAGCCACAGTCCTGGACGATGTATGCTAAAATGTAAGAAAAGAACAAGGAGCCCATGTTAGATTTGCTCATTCTGTGTGAATGCAAAGGTGCTGCCAAGACTTCTGTTTTATTAGATGCATTCAACTACTATGTTGAATAACCAATATATAAATAATTTATTGGACTGGATGTCAGAAATTTGAGCATCCATTGCTTAGTCTGTTGAGTAAGCCATTTGGAAATGTCAGTATTTTGGGACTTCTGGTAAAACCAGTAAAGATCAAGACTTCCTGTTCTGTATGTAGGATATTATTTACAAATGCAGCTTCATTTCAAACGTAATAATAATCAGACAATAGTTAATGATTTCCAGATTGCATTTCAATGCTCTTTTGCTCTGTAGATGGATTATTTGCAGGAAAGCCTGCTTAGATAGTAAAAAGTAGCCTGTTCTGATTAAAGGTGGACTGTAAACTAAAAACAGAAATTGTCTGGTACCAAAGATTTTGTCTCATGATTACAGATTCTGTATATCTCCATATGTGATATCTCTTTGCTATCATTGCATTTTGTGATTTAAGACTAAAAATGACTAATGTTGTTCTATTTTCACTGCTGAATGTGGAAATTTGTAACCATTTATCTACAGGTTTGCCAGAAATTTTTTTGTTGTTTTTCCACAAATGGTGAATATATGACAATAGAATTAATGCAACAATAAAAAAAAACCCAATTAATAGATGTGTTTTTAGGTGGTACAGCTGCTCCCAATAGCCACAGCCAATAGATTAAAAAGAGACGCTAACAGCATACTGTCACATTTCAAAGAATTTTCCATTTATTTTAAAGATCTTTACTGGTTTTCACACTAGGGAAAATTTATATTATTGTTTGTCAAAAATGAAAACCTTATTGATCTGCGTTGTGACATTTGAAATACACACAAAGAGTAAACATCAAAGCCAAACAATAATTCTCATTTAGAACATGGTTTACATCAACACTGAGGAGATCTCAAATGCATGCGCCTCCTCTGCAACATTACATGCCCTTTAATGTCCTAGCAGGAGCTGCTTGAAGTCTGTCACTGGTGTTCACCTCCAGCCTGACTGGGTCAGAGCGGCAACAGCATACCTGCAGGTTGATTGACAGCTGTGTGAGGCAGGGGCTTCAATAGCCCCTCTGCAATAATAGCAAAATACGAATGCTGGGAATATTAATGTCCTTCATATTTTATTAATTCTAAATCCATGGGATATCAACTTGGTGCTTTATGAAAAGAAAACATCAATCCTGCTGAAGTAATGAGTGCAGGAGCAATTTGGGGGTAGAGTAGAGGGGGTGGAGTAAACCCCTCTAGTTACATTGGATACAGAGGGAGAACGGGAAAACTAATATTTGGCTGTCCGCTGTTGGGTATTGTTCGTTAAATGACTGCGCTGCAGGGATGAAACACTGCACAGTGGCTACTGCTGATGTGCTTCATCACGATTTTTATTACATACATTTTGTGTCTGCTAATGACTGCAAGCTATCACATATGGTCGTGTGTGGATTTTGTCTTTGTCTTTGTGTGCATGTCTCCTACGTGCGTATTTTATTCCCCTGATTGAAGTGTGGGGGCTTTGTTGTTCTCAAAGCGTGTCACATATTTTAGTGCATCAAACTGACACAGCACGGCACCAACTGCATTAAGAGTGACATGTGGTTTCATAAAAGCATGCATATGGAACAGTAGGAAAATGTCAAGGTCAAGACAAATAAAACAGGGATGCAGCCCGTTAGAGTTTTACAAAGTCACAGACTGGTGCCAAGACATTTCAGACCAGCTGGCTGAAAATATCACATAAGTCAAAGCAAAGGTTCAGTGAAGTACAATGAACCTGTCATTAGTTATTTTCATCTCAATGGAGTCTAATAAAAATGGTTTGGCCCTGTGGAATTAATCATTCGGTAGATTCAAGAAAATAATGGAATGTCTTTCTTCAAGGCAAAATGATAAAACTTTACTTTTGTGTCTCGGCCAACAGATGTCTATAGCATTAGCATGTGAGCAGGTGGTTGTCTGTGCCAAATTGTTAAAGTACCATGTGATTCATGTGATATGTGACGAGAACAGATGGAATAATGACAACTGCCATTTACCACTACCATTTACTGTCATTTTCATGATTTCTGGAAGACTTGATTTTACATATGGTGTGCAGTCCCTCTAATTACATAATAGATGTTTAGTATTCTCTGGGGCAGTACATTGTTCTCAGATGGCTGAAAATAGACAGTTTAATTGCTCTGGCTGCAGCCGTGGTTGCCTTTTCAAAAAGGACATTATGTCTAATCATAAAACATCTGGAACATATCTGAATCAGTCCCTTTGCTGCTGCCATTAGGTGTTGAATCTATCTGACTTCCTCCTCTGTGCTTATTTGGATGGCTGTAGGCTGAATGGCAAAGGGAATACTTGAGACTAATAAAAGTGATAAATGATTTCTTGGCGATTCAATGAAAGTTTCAGTGCTTTTCCATTGCAATAATAAATCACATTCTGTGATGATGCCACAAGCCCACTCACTGCCTACAGTCTCTACCTCACAATGACATTTTATCCCAGTCAAACACCACACACTTTTCTGACTGTATTTTCATTGTTATATATATATATATATATATATATATATATTACCACTGCCTACACATGTGATACATTCAGATGCACTGAGAAAACAACTTTACTTTCTTGTAAGTTCTTCTAAGTTAAGGGTGACAGCATCACAGGCTTATACAGGGCTGCAGTGACTGTGATCCTTCATAAGCATCACTTTGATACTAAGGTTTATTGTCCAAATGAAGATTTTAACAGCAGAATGCAGATGTAATACTCTGCCATAATATTGTAAGTGTAAGGAAGTAATACATTTCATTTTAAATAATCTGTATGTTATTAAAAATTACCAAAGAAATGTACTTTGCTACTTTGAAGGAAAAGTTATAGACTGAATTTGGCAGTTCACAACTGGTAGGCCTGATGATGTGTAGGTCCGTTTTGTGTTGCAGACTTTGTTTTTTGACTGGAAACAGTCTGGGACTGGACTGAACTTGACACGGCAGATAAGGCAGAGGTTCACTGTAAGTGCCAGGCTAATTTCCAGCCTAAAACCATGAAATCTTGAAATATTATGGGTCAAGTAGATTTTCAGTACAGGCAAATGGTATCTGGGAATTGGCAGGGAGTAGCTGAACAACTGGAAATTTCCAAATCTTCAATATATATGAAATAATATATGTAAAGTGTTTAATATAGACTAATAAATGTTCTGAGTTATCTCATAGTATAACTAATAATTTCTGTCAGCTTAATTACAAAAAAAGTAAAACTAAAGATGTGAAAAATCTTAATAGTGATAGTAAAAAATCAAAAAACACAACAACAATAATAATTCCTATTTCCCCACCTTGAGATCCCTTGGACTTGGCCAGATCCATAATTCTCCATCATATATTTATATGGGAGAGGTATTTCGAGCAGGGACTGGGTCAAATGGGCTAAACTAGATGGTGAATAATTTAGGATTCTATTAACATTTAAATTTGACATTGATTTGACACAGTCAAGCCTCTGCTAAGTGACAAGAAATAGCAAGGTTGTGGAGGAAAAAGAAGCTGTGTTTTAATAATTGTCCAGATGGGTTTTTAATCAAACGGTATGTAATTATCCATCTTCCTTTTGTTGAGCAGTGAAATGTAAAGGGTAAAAAAGAATTTTTCTGATGTGGCCATAAGTTTATTATACCTTTGTTTTTAATGTTTGCCTGCAACCCATACGAGCTGGCCAGAAATAACATTTTAAAAGGCCAAAGCAAGAGTGACACTAAGCCAAACAGAGTAGGTGTGTGTGTTTATATGAGGGATCACAAATCAATAGCTTGGGGCTTCTTCTCTTGATGATTCTAACTTCGCAGATGAAGCAGCACAGGCCAGGCAAAGTCATCGCCTTTTAAAGATCTGTTTACAAAGAGACAAAGACAGGGAGGAAAGACCTTTTAATAGGACAGGCCTGCCACTTGCATTGGGGTCACTGAATTTAAAACTTGTATTTACTGGACAGATGCCTAGATAGTTCAAGACTGTTCCATTTTTGTTCTTATATGAATCAGCTCAGTTATGTATTGGAATTGTAATGAAAAAATAATATTATATGCAAAGTCTTAGTGCCACTTTAGATTGTATACTTGAGGTGTATCACAAACTATTTCAGAAGTTGGGAATGAAATGGTATTTGTCAGGTCACGAGTCGTTACCCATAAAGATTAAGTATTATTTTGCTTATTTTACCACAATACAAAGTAAAGGAACTTACTTGCTACACTGCTTGTAGGGTCTACGGCTCTTAGTTAGAGTAGGTTGGTTGTTTGATCCCTGGCTTCTCTAGCCTGCATATCAGTATGTCCTTGAGCAAGAAAATGATCTGAAAAACCTCCCCCCAATGGGTTAGCAGTACATGTTTCTATGTGTAATACTGAACCAAACCAAGAGTGACAATGAGCCAATAAAAGAACTGTTGAATGTGTGTCTAAATGAGTGAATGTATCTCATAATGTGCTTTGAGTAGTCTATAAAACTAGAAAAAGCACTAATAATTATTAGCATTACTTTGTGTTACTCCACAACATCTGTTTGCTTGTTAGATATAAGATTAACCAAACATATGCCCATGTATTATCTTCCCTGCTCCACACAAACTGATAAGGCAGTTATGGAACATAAATGAATCAAAAGGTATTTCTGTTGGAAATCATCAGTTAATTTAACTAAATAAGTATGTCTTAGGAAATGTCCAAAATCAGTAATAACAACTAAGATCACTTTAGCAAAAAACCTAGTTGGATACCTTTTAAGAGTTGGAAGCGCTGTCAAAACCAGATAAAATTACTTGAATTGTGGACAATAAGCAATGTTTGTGTCCTTTGGTTTCCTTTCGGAGCATGGGGACTTCACTAGGATGTCCTCAAGTCAAGTCACCATTTAGAAAAATGAGCAAAGATTATAGAAATTAGTGCTGGCCACAGTATGGCAATCATACGTCTATCTGGAAATATAATCTCATTAATAAAACCTTTGTGGAAAACCAGGATTGAATTTGAATATTCTGATAAATATTTGACTGACCGTGACTGTGGAAAATGAAACCAAAGTGCTTATCCATAGTCACTACAGTTGTAGTATCTCATTCTAACCAGAACATAACACAACACCGTTTTTGAACCGTGCTCCAAATACCGAGCTGCACTTACAGATCTTGAATCCGCCAATGAAAGAATTTAGATCCTACAAGCAAAAGTCTTATCAGCTATAGATCATATCAAAGCTCTCTTTTAAACAGGATTATGATATAATTTATGTATTGAATAATTCTGTGAAATTGCCCACGCAAAGGCATGAAAGCAGTTGCTGCTGTAAAAAAACACTTTGTTTTCCTCCATCTCGATCTCAGACTATTTGGCTTTATTAGGCTGTTTGACCAAATCAGGTCAAAATAAAGCTCCGCTTCACTCTTTGACAGTAAATTTTAACAGTGCATTGCAGAGGGATGGGTATTGGCACTGGATAACAATAGCTTAGGCAGCCCTGAGGGTTATTACCTCTTGTTGTGAGCGGGCAACACTTAGATTTACGTCTGTAGAGAAGCACCTAAGAGGCAAATTAAACACTAAACCTTATTTATTGTTTATCTCATGTCACATATATTACTAACAACATATACCTTCTCCATCTCTTTCCTAATTATTCCCTCTTTTATGCTAATACAAGTTGTAGTTCACTTGAAAGTCATTTTAAAGTACCATTAACTGCAGCCATTCACTGTCTATAGAGAAAAATGACACCCACAGCCTTTGTTACTCTTCTTTTATATACTCCAGAACATATAATGGCTAAAAGACTAATTGACAAAGAAAATCATTATTAGATGTAAGACCCCGATTCTCTACTGCAGATGGCGCTGACATGTTCCTGTAATTATATTTGATTCTGCAGTAATATCTTGTCAACGTGGTGAGCAGAGTCAACAGACGATCACCTGTCTCTCTGAGGACTTGAGTGGCTAGGCAAACCTCATTACTGTGAATCACAGAGGCTGAAGAAAGACCAAGCAGAAATACCTTTATCCTGCTAAGGTGGATCCCAAGTGAGAGTCAGCAGCTGTCATTTACCATCAACTCCGGCCTTGTTAATTCCATATAAATCTCTGACTGCTGCAGACCACAGTGTCTCCTGAGAACCTGGGAAGTGACAACCATCAGTCAGGCCCTAAAATAGAGCATATTACAGATAGGGTTAATCCACCATAGCCAGAGGAAGTGCTAAAATCCCTTTTGTTACAGATACTGCTGGTCCCTGCAGCACATGTGCTAGTTTCCTCACAATATTAAACCGCACAATAAAAGCCCATTTTAAGAATTCCAATAATCCGGCTTGTTGTAACCCAATTGGTGCAAGCCTCAAAGTCCTTGCATATTCAATCTAATTTCAGGTCGAGGAACAGCTTAGCTGGCTTATCTATATAATGCAATTGTGCTGCAGCAAAAAAAAAGTGATTCTTTTCATGCATCCATGATCTGCTTTAATGATACAAGATAAATCAATGACAATTCATATAACAGTCCTATAACTGAAGTTGGAGGCTCTTTAAAGTTACCACAGAATGTTTTACAACGGGAAAGCGCTGTGCAACGGTTTCATGCAATGACCTCTTTTGCGGCGCAGTGATAAAATGTCACGGCATCTGTGCATTTAATCCATCAAACGCTCGCCTTTCTTGAAAGGCCTCAATCATGCATTGGCCACCTTAATCATAATTTTTCCTAAAATGAAAATGAGAGTACAAAAGAAATTGCAGATTGAGCCGTCTATATGCATCAGAATGAGATGAAAGTGTTGCCTAGCCAAACATATGTTAACAAGAAAATATGAGCTGCACTGTCAAACTAAACTATGAACACATTATGAGCTGACGGCCAAATAAAATCACACTTTGCCCCTTGTCACATTTATGAGTCATCCAGCAGATGAAAGTAGTTTTATGCATTTATGTCCAGAAATGATGCTGCTTGCAGGTTTCTACTCAAGGCTAAAAATAGTTAGATATACAACATCTTGGGATGCTGTTATGGGCATAGGGAGCACAAGAAGCAAATATAACAGTAAATTTTATTTTGCCAGCATGGGAGAATACTGTCTCCTGAATTAGATTTGTCAATTCACATATTACAATCACTTAGTCAGAGCAAGCAAGCGGGAGCAAAATAAATAAAAAGATGGATGGCCTGACGCATCGTATAGCTAAGTCTATATAGTAAAAATATCACCGGTGTTATTTAGCTTTTCTGTCTAAGTGAAACTTGGTGTGTTCTTTCACAGTGTCAATGTGTTGTGCATGTTTAGCTACAATGGTACATGTGTGTCAGAATCCTGGTCTAACCACAGTTGACTATTAGACGGGTGACAGGATATCTGTAATCACCACGTCAGCAAAGTTCAGTCCCTACACACACACACACACACACACAAAATAGATCTTTTAATAATCAGTGTAGCTGGCCGAGCTATGCTCGTCATTACCCAGGGAGACAGGATATAGAAAAATCTCACCAACATCATATTTTTCTGCACTAGTGGATGGTGAACATTTTTTCCATTTTGCACAAGGTTAGTAACCTACATTGCACTCCATCACTGTTAGTTATCCCAGTCACCCCCAACAACCCACCCTGAGGATGAATAATTTTGCATGTGAGGTAGTGGAAATAATCACTGAATGAATCATTTTAAAGTGAATGTCATTTGTCACTGTACGGATACCTGGACTACCCAGTGTGATGAATTAAACACGGGGTCAAGACTGAGATAGAAAATAAAGCAAGAGCAAAATGGAAGGGCATGGAAGGATGGGGGCGTAGAGAAGGGATGGAAGTCTGTGTTAATGATATGGTCATATGTACACAGTTGAGCTCAGATGTGATTAAGGCAATGATATGATGGGTGGTGTCAGTGCCGAGCTTAATGACTAATGCAATGAGATGGAATTTGAAGAGACACTGGTGTCAGGCTGAAGTGGAATAATGCCTGGAGCGTCTGCAGCAGCAGACACATGGAACTGCCACAATGAGCAGCCTCATAAGCACAAATTGTTACGGTAGCTGGAGACTTAGACATGCATAATTAGCCTTACTGCAGAACAATACAAAATTGAAATTCAGTGCTTTTGACATTCTGTCAGGCAAATGATAAATAACCAGAAAAAAATAATGATGATGATTATTTCACTTACTGTATTTGTCACAAATCAGTTTCCAGCGCTCTAAATGGAAGAGGGGAAAAAAGGGGGGACAGTGACTCCATGGAATAATGAGGACCCCAACCACCACATACAAAAATATTCTTAACATTGTGAACTCAAGCCTCTGGTGATAATGAGTAGTCTTAGTTTTAAAAATGTTGGTCTTGCAGATATACGATGGCACTGAGAAACCTGTTAGACTCGAATAAAAAGTGTATATATATATCTTTAGATATCTGCTTCAACTTGTAAGGTGGAGAATATGAACAAGGTGAAAAGAGTACAAAAATTATGTAAAGAGGGAACATCCACCTCCATCAGGATGACCAGGGACACGGCCTCTTTCCACCTTATTGCTGCTTGGCCTTTCAGGCAACAGAACTGCTTGCTATTGCACATCTCCAACAATATCTCGCTGCATACATAAAAAAGGAAGATGGTGAGGCTCACAGGAAAGCCTGGATTGTTTATGGTTGCAATATAGATTTTATACAGCTCCCAGGAAAAGAGAATTACGTCTTAAATTACAAAGATGTCTCAGTGAGTTGTCAGCAGCAGGAATTATATGGGCCTGGCAGCTAGTGTGGATGTTTGGCTGCAGGGGACACTGGGGAGCTGATGGTTCCAGAATTGGGACTCAACAGAGACGCCTGACCTACAGTTAGCACAGTCAGCACAAAATAACAAAGTTACACAAACCCCTTGATAAAATAATGGCCCAGATGTGGCTAATCCGTAAGTACAACAAAACAGAAGAACAGAACTGTACAAAAACACTAGACACACACACACACGATATAAACACACACGCATATCTTCAAACAAAAAACTGAGGCAAAAAGAATATAATTAACAGTTTGGTGATCATTATGGGATTGTGACATAGAAAAGATCTGCTGCAGTTTTTAAAGAGTAAATAAAATGAAAGAAAGATTTTTATTTCAGATACTGAACAATAAGACTGCCAGAATTTTAAAAAGTACACGAGCTGTTAATCCAAAATATAATTAAGAAAGTATCTAAAATGCAAGTCAGCAGAATTTAATCCCTTATATTAAAAATTCATGTCATGAAATTACCTCATTCGTTCTTTCCAATGAAATATTAGTGTTCTGTAATCACTGTGTTATTACACCATCATTAATTAATCACCTTTAATTTAGCTAATAATGTTCAGTTAATCTTGGAAAAAGAACTTAAGCTACCGGTTGTGGTAGCTAATCTTGTCATTTGGGAAGAAGCAGCCATTGGGCAGAAATGGTTTGATTGCAGATTGTTCAGTCTGAACACAGTCCCAGGGTTATTGTGCAGGTTACTACTAAATCCTCCAGCAGTCATAAATTTGGATGAGTTGCATCAATATTTGCAGAATTAAATCTTAAATGGAACTGTTGCCTTTTCTCATTTAAGGAATCACTGGGATAAACCTTCGGGAACTCATGTCTCCAGTCCCTAGACATACTGAAGTAATATTTATGTGCACACACACAGGAGACTGGACTGGAGACACACACAAACACACACTCTCGCACTCTCTCTCTCTCTCTCTCACACACACACACACACACATAAATGGAGATGGCATGTTCCATATTAAAATGGCATTTATAGAAAAATGTGCGTACCTCATGCATTCCTTCCATCCTGGCATGCACACAGCATTTTAGAGCCAGATGCAGGTGAAATGATAAGGAGATTAGATACAGGATTAGAGATGTGATTTTATTAAAACTTTCCCTACACTTCAACTGCTCTTTTTTTTCTTTTTTTTAAATTGCTGTTTTCCTCATTGGCAGGTCTATGAAAGGTGGAGATAGAATACAAATCTCCACTATGTCCACTGATAGCTGGAATAGCAAATAAGTCTCCATAAATATTAGGACTGTGCATGTATATCCAGTTCTGTGAAAACAGAGGTTTATTTGTAATAACATAGAGGGGTTTTTTTTTTAACATCTCGACATTTATTTTTGATAAGATTTTAAAAAGACTTGAACAGACGTGAATCTGCACACAGATGGTAAATGGACTGGATTTTATATATAGCACTTTTTTACTCTACCGGAGCACTCAAAGCACTGCATACGACTTGCTTCATTTACCCATTCATACAAGAGCTTTTTTCCATGCTTCCTACCTACATGTTCATACTCTAAAGCAGCGGTCCCCAACCCCCGGGCCTCGGACCGGTACCGGTCCGTGAATCGTTTGGTACTGGGCCGCGAGAGTTGAGGCTCAGGTGTGAAATGTATGGTTTTCAGGGTTTTTATCGGTTTTCAGCGTTATTTTGTTATCGTTTTGATCGTTAACTCGGTTTTCCTGGGTCTTTTCACGTGTGTTATGAATAAATCTTCTTTTTTTCGGTACCGGTACTAGTTTTATTTTGTTGTATTTATCAGCGACACATTAAAGGCCGGTCGGTGAAAATATTGTCAGGCATAAACTGGTCCGTGGCGCAAAAAAGGTTGGAGACCGCTGCTCTAAGGGATGCATCACAGAGCAACGTGAGGTTAATACCTTAGATATTTGGCATGCAGACTGGAGTAGCCAGGAATCGAACTACCAACCTTCCAATTAGTAGATTACCCGGTCTTTCTGAGCTACAGCCACCCCCAAATAGATTTAAGCATAAGAAGTAAATATCCTTCTGTAAAAGATGCATGAGTAGAAAGTTTCCTCATTGCTAATGTACTTGTCTCTTTGGGTTTCTCTATGAATAGCCTTATCTCATTGCTTTACAGTGTCAGGGTCATGATCCTAAGACAGGAGAACATTCATCACAGTGGTGGCCCATTTGTAAAATGGCATTTATAACTGGCTTGCTTCCAGCTAGAGGAACCAAACACTGGTGTTACTGAACACTGTGAATAAGGAGGTCTAAGCTGAAATAGAAAGCAGAGGGACAAAAGGTGAGACACATCAGTCTATATCCTTGGGATCCTTGCTTAGAGGTTACAAGAGATTCCACCAG